GTGATTTTGAGAGAACTAGAAAGTCTCAACAGGATAACAATGCACAGTGTACTTACACAATCGGTTCCTAATGCCTCCCAAGACCCAAAACGGTCCAAGTGGACCCCTAAGAAGTAATTATATCATCTAGAAAGGCATTTGACAATACTGAAGCCAACAAGGCTCTTCCAACACTAAACACTAGAAAACAGGGCCTAACATGCTACCGTGGAATTGGAATTCCTGGATATGGCCTAATATTCCCCCAGATTCTATATGAATGAGCTTCAGCCCAGGTGAGGTACTGTATGTGTGCCCTTCTCTTTTGTAATCTATCTTTTGCTGAGGGAGAAGCTCAGATTTTAAGTCAACTTGTCTCTAGCTTCAGTGCATCCCAACAGGTTATTAAAGAATAGAGATCACAGACACCACTTGATCTACCAACACAACAGATGGACCACTTCCCTAGCAGTAACAATGGGTACAAATTAAATTTTACAAAGAAGGCCAGCAGGGCCAATAATAATGTCTCTCGTTCGACAAGGCCCCTTTCCAGTACTGTTTGTTATCTTCTCCTACAATGATCAAAGGTTGAGAAATTACCAACTGGCTTCATCTTACCTGTTAAAGTAACTTTCATTCTCCTGTAATAATTGTCACCTCAGAGGCTTACTGCCTCCATTTGATAACCTAGGACTAGTCCAAGAAGCTTCTAGACTCTGTACAATCTTATCTAGGCCTAGAAAGTTTTCAGCCTCTAAGACTTACTGCTGAATAAGCTTACCCCTTCCTAGTTCTTTTTGATCTCTGGCTGGCTGATTCAACTCTCCTCTCTAAGCTGACTGATTCAATCTGGCTTCTCTTGGCTTCTGACTAAATTGCTCCATTTGGCCACAAACTAACTCTAGCAATGTGTTCTGATCTCCTGGTTCCTTCTCATTCTCTGGCTCATTCTGTCTTTATCTGTGTCTAGCTGTTCTCTCTTCAACCTGTCTCTGTAAAACTCTCCTGGTAAAACTGCCTCCCTCCTCTCTCTCTTCACTAGCCTTTTTTTTTCCTCTCTCTCTTCTCATGACAGTTTGCATATCCTATTGTGTCAAATCTTCTCTGATTTGTCACTTTGTCTGCCACTCAATTAGACATCACTTTCAAACATGGGTGCTTCCTTCTACAAACTAACTTTGCCTTCATTGTTGAGGATTAAAGGTGTGTGCTAAGAGTTTATCTATATTCCAGCTAAAGAGATTAAAGATGTGTGCTGAGGTTGAGCCATACCACAACTAGAAGCAGCTTTTTTTCCCAGTAAATAACACAATCTCTGAGTTCCCAGTGTGATCAAATATCTGTAACACCTACCCAAGTTAAACTGTAGAAAGAAGAGGTTAATTCAAACCAAGATCTCAGTTTCACCACAATCTAGATATGTATGCTGACCATATACACAAGAACCCATTTCGTTAACCAAAACTAGATGAGAACCCATGGCAAAGCATTTCAAATATAGCAAGACTATTCACAAACCCCTGGGGTCTCAGCTTTAAACTGAATATGTAAAGAGAGGCTTCAGATTTGGAAGAAACAGATATTAGAGAGGAATGATAAATAAGGAAAGCTTTTGCTATGTAGCACAGGAAGGCACAAATTCACATATGTGTGAATAATTTGCCCTTTAAAAAATGCCCAAGAAGCTGTAGCTTCATTACCAAGGCAATAACAGAGACAAGAAGGTTGGCAAGGAAAAGTGGTATTTGGAAACAAACTCACACCTTCCTTGAAACCAGTCAAATTCTGGATACTGGTAAAACCAAGCAAGTCCATTAACAAGCAAGCAAGCAAACAAACAAATAAATAGCAGGAAATAATTGGAGAATTGGTACACCAGGGAGTTCAGCAGAACAAATCTCTGGTTAAAAAATAATTAGAAAAGGTTTTCTGATAGAAAAAGAATGGTCGTTGAGCAGGGACAGAGCTATGCTTTGATTCTGAGTGTTTCCCAAAGGCTCATGTATCAGAGGTCTGACCACTGGCCTGTGTCACCACTGGGAAGTTGTGGGACTTTTAGGATGTGGGGCCTACTGTAAGTAAGATCACCCCAAGACTGCGCTTTATGTGAGAGTCTGAGTCCTCAGTCCCTTTTGTCCCCATTGTCCCCACAATGTCAGAAGGTGAGAAGTTATGTTTTACTGTGTGCTCCTTCCAAGGTGTTGTCTTACCATAGGTCAAATAACCATGGACCTAAATGATTAAAACCTTGAGACTTGAATCCTTTTATGTAGATTTATCTCAGGTATTTGTCACAGCACCAGGAGGCTATTGAACACAGTGGAAAATCAAGGAAAGGAGATCCAAGACCCAGGAAATTAGATCCTTGAGGATTAGGATTCTACTCAAAATATTTATTTCACCCAACCTCAGTATGTCTATCTGCAATATGGGGAACAAGATGTCAATGATGGTTCTGCTTTTGTAAATGACATAGTGTTTCTCTCTTTCCTCCTGGATGTCTATACCAGTATGTGCATCTCCATGTCAATAGTAGGACTTATCCCTTTATTAATTTTGTTGGCGGCTTTATACAGGAACAAAGTTGTTTCCAAGTATATTAACATCTCAGGTCACCTAAATGGGAATGTCACTGACCCCTGTGTCTGACCTCAGACCGTCCTCTGTGGGAGAGTTCATTATCTACCAGCTGAGTTTGTCATGTTCTCACTACAAAGTACAAGGACACTTTTTGATGTTAGGAATAAGACAGGTGGGCATTCACCAACTCCACAGGCCCATGGTTTAGACAGTACATTTGCTGATGGAAACTATGATGTTCACAGAATGCCCTTGGAGCTATCCAGGGCTATTTATAGCTTCTGACACAGAAGGTTTCAAGTGGAGAATGGACATCATTGTTAATACCCAGACAAGCTCTGCAGGAAGGACTATAAAGTCCTCACATAATGTTCTAAGAACAGAACTTGTCAACGGGAAGGGGTGGATGAAGGAAAATGGAACACACTAAGACATACAACAGGAAATGGGGTGTGGGCCCGTTTTTTGGTTGTCTGTTTTTCCTAGCTCATCAGTGCTCCTCTTTTCTGGCTGTGAGGTATTTGTTTTTCCATTGAGAAAATGAAAATGATTAGCATTTTTTGTAAGAGGCATGTTGGTCCAGCATCTCTGAAGGAATGATCTTTCTGTTCAGAAACATAGGTACCCAGTCTCTTCACCACAACCTTCTTGTCTTCAGTTTTGAATTGCTACATCATTAGATCTTACCTGATCCAGCCAGAGGCTGGTAAGAAAACACTTCATTAGTGTGTCAAGCTTCTCACGAGCAGACTTTGTTCAGTTTCAGTTTACACTACATCATCACCAGGGGCACTGTGTCACTGAATCCCATCCCAACAAATGCTACTCACTGGTTTGGACCCACTTCTAGTCCCATTTCTTCCAGAGGGCTTGCTCTGATAGCTATGAGGGAGCTCTCTGCTTCCTTTTGTCATTTGAGTAGCTATTAGAATCTTTTCTGTATAACTAGCCAAATCATATGATCTCTTACTTTGCTGTGTAGGTTTCTCAAGATGGAGTCAGCACTCGCTGAGGCAGTGATCATCACTCTGTTGGAATTAGGGACTTAGTCTGCTCAGAATGGCATAAAAGCTGCTTTTTCTACTTTGTCTAGAAGGGGTTCTTTGTGCTCGTTTGCACAAAGGCAGGGACTAAGCCAGCCTAAGTTCCTGTTCTCTTATAATCAATTCCAAACACGTGCAAACCAACTAAGCTGTAATGGGCAGATACCACAGTTACTCCCCAAGGAGAAATACCATCTTCCCGGTCCCTGCATAGCACCATTCATCAAATGCTTTCTTTCAAGACGTTATCTTTCCTGCACAGAGAAAGCTGACACAGTTTTCCAGATGAAGCGAAATAAAAGGCATACTCTAAAGGAAACCAGAGAAAGACACTCTAATACAAACCAAACTCAGGAGATAATTCAGCAACAACTGTTAAAAGCTCTTGATTCAAATACTGTCAAAGATATGGTTAGGGAAAAAGAAAGGCTGAAGAGCTGCAATTTCCACAGTGGGAAATCTGCTCCATCCTTAAGCTGCACCTGGGCGAGCTGAGGAAGAAGAGGAAAGACCAAATGAGCAAAGCAATACACGGTGTATACCGGGGCACAGAGGCTACCCACGTCCGCACTCTCTGCTTAAGAGGAGTCTCTGGTTTTTGGTTGGTAGATAAGTCATGCATGTTAACATTAAGGACCCCCTCAGAGGAAAGGCTGTACCAGACCATTTAGTGGCAGCATCATGACTTAGCAAGGCACTTCGTCTAGTTTATAAGTCAAAAGTAGAGAATGTCACCCTACCCCTCACCAGGAATATGTTCAAGCTCCACAAAGTGCCAGATAGGAACAGACACTAACCTGGTCTCTACTCTTCCAGAGCCTGCAGATAGTTTAGTCTCCCATGGTTGAAGCTACTGACTAGAGATACACTATCAAAGGGGACACACAACAACAATGGAAAGCCCTGTCTTTCATGACTTCCACTCTAGCTCCATGACCTGGGAAATGCATAGTATTCCTGGGCTTTACCCTAGCTTCACCTAGAAAGTGAGGGCATTTCCTGTGCTAAAATTTATCATTCTAATTAAAAGCAAAGAAGGTAAGTTTTATAGGTTCTTCTGAATCACAACTTTCTAAAAGTCCACTGTGAAGTGGTATACACACAACAAAAGGGTGAGAATATTGTTACAAGCCCTTAGTGTGCCAACTCCCCTACATAAGAGAGAGAAAGCACTGCAGAGATCCATGGCTAGTGGCAAAATCTTTTGTCCCCAGGGTGTATAAATGATGAATTTGCTGTTTAAAGAATGTTTGCCACTGAAGAGCTCTTTCCACACTTATGAGTGTTAGCACACACAGAGCGTATCACAGGCGTCTCCTATGCCTGACCATTCTGGACTTGACCTGCTGCCTGATGTCCAGCCTGCTGCACCTAGGAACACAGTTTTGTGTTTACCTTGAGGGCCTTCTGCGCAGATTCACTGGACCCTATCGCAATCAGGTTGGGCCCGGCCATGCTGCAGAAACTCTTCAAATGCAAAGAATCAGCTACAGGGACTGTGGAGACTGCGTAGTCCTATGCAGACAGACAGAAGGAAACACAAGAGGGCTGTTACTACAGAGTAATTCTCAAGACTGACTGAAAACTGCCTGAATCATGCTTGCTCTCTTGAAGGTTGCCAGCCGCAGCAGGAAAAGCAGGGGAAGCGGGGAACCTGACTCACAGGTATTGGTGTTGCCAGTTGAACCAAGATGGCTTTGTAAGAAGAAAGCAGTTTCCTTCCAGAGTTGACTGTGTTACCAGCTCTGCTGGCTGCTTGGTCAGTGGAGCAGGCTACTCTGGGTGGGTTGTTTGCATCCCTGTGGACACTGGATCAGTCAGAGCTTCACATTCTCATGGGGAACAAAGCTTCCAGGAAGAGTGTAAGTGTGTGTGTGTGTGTGTGTGTGAGTGTGTGTGTGTGTGTGTGTATGTGTCTGTTTGTATCCGTTACTAAGCAGTCTTGTGAACCATTCTTTTCATGACCAGTAAAGGGACCTTTAAAGAAAGCATATGCAATACTGTGCACAGTTTCCAGTACACAGTACACACCCAGTAGAGAAGATCTTCAGATCCTAATCTGAAAATCACATTTGTATTAGACATATCTGGGACTCCAGATTTTATTTTTTAAAAGTGATTTTGTCAGAAACATGTGCTGGTGTTTGTAGGATTATGCACTTGGAAAAGCCAGAAGGTGAACAAACTATCTTTCTTGTTCCTGAGAGAGCTCAATGGATCCTAATTATAGAGAAACTTGAATTTAATAGTCTTTAAAATGTCTAGTAAATGTACAAATACTAAGAATAATTTTGTAAAGCTGGTGAAATATAAACACAATTACTCGTGACATATTGATTCAATGGGGCTATGAATATTTATCAAGCAATTATTCTGAGCCAGGGGTAAACGATACTTCACCTACCTTAAAAGTATCAGCCAAGATTTCAGCACCGCGTTGATTTGTCCTTTTGGAAAGTCCCACAAAAAATTCTCTGCCTGTAATAGATGTGATGGAACAAAGTGAGTCAGTGGGGACTGTATATTGTTTCTTTATCTACAAATATGGTCTTCAAGTATCACACGGTTCTCTTCTCCACTGGGAAAGTTCCAAAGAGACTCCTGTCTCCATTCCAAAAGCGGGTTCAAAAGACTGCCCTTAAATAAGCCTTTCAAATTCAGAGATGGAAATTAGCATGGCAGTTGCTAGGAGCTGGGAGAAGGCATAAATGGGTAGAGTGGTGGGTGAACAGTGATGGAGTTTCAGCCCTGGAAGATGGACAATGTCTGGTGACGCAGGATGGTGGCCCCCCAGAGGTAGGAGACGATTCACTACCTCTTTCCTGTACCCTTAACATGACTGTGAATATTCAACACACCCCCTATACCTATATCTCAGGGAACACCCTGAAGATGGGGCAGGAAGATTTTAGGAGCCAGAGAAATGGGATGTCAGCTGGGAACGATTTCTAGATCTGACAGGAAAATCTAGACAGGACTCATGAAATCTCAACAGTATGGTTGCAAGGAATCCAGTGTCCTCTTCTGGTCTCGCCAGGCACCAGGCAAACATGTAGCACACAGGCATACACACAAACCCCCATACACATGGAACAGTTAATAATTAAATAATTCTGGGAGAACTTGCGAGAGGGAAAGGATATGATCAAAGTATATTGTATGAAAAATGAAAGAAATAACAAAATGTAAAAAAAAATAGTAATCAAATCTCCTTTCCTTTCCTATTTTAATTACTTGTAAGAGTCAACAGGCTTTTCATCAAATCAATAATCCTATGTTCCAGATTTGGCGGATGGCTTCCTAATATCATTTAACATTTACAATGTTCCTTTACTCCTTCTATTTTCAGAGAATTGATACTTTCCTGGAGGTGGTTAGTTAACTTTTCTTTTTCCAGTGGGGTCCATATGTCCATTGCTTCACACAAGCATGTGACTAATGTCACAAATATTTCAGTCTGGTGGGACTAGAACGATCAAGTGTGTTCAGAGTGACGCCGGCCCAATTCCCTCACTAAGCTTCCACACAGTGGCTTTCTCTCCACTGATGCTCAGGAACAGGTCCACTATTTTATCAGGGATGTGCATTTCCATTTAGAATTGTAAGAAGGAAAACACTGACCTACTTGAGATATAATTCATAAAGGAAAAATAGGGTAAATGATTCCCCCCCCATATCCACAGTAGAGATGGTAGTCTCCAAACTTAAAATAACCACATTAAAAATAAATCCACTCTTACCTCTTAATAAGTCAACGATTAAGTCATAACAGAAATTTAGAAAACATTTAGACCTAACGGGTATAAGAAATCCTCATATCAATCGGAGATTCTCCCTGGGTGTGGAGGAGCGAGCCTGTAACTCTAGTACTGGGAGGTGGAGGCAGGGGGATTGGGAGTTCAAGCTCATTCTCAATTATATAGTGAATTTGAAGCTAGCCTGGGCTACAAGAGACCCTGTCACAAACAAACAAATGAACAAACAAACAAACAAAGGGAAGAAAAGAGAAAGAAGAAATATTTTATTAAAGTATTTAGAGGGAAATCTATACCTTAGAGAAGTGTACATTTCAAAACTGATGCCAATTCATTATGAAGGGAAAAAGGATAGAGTGTAAGTAAAGAAAGTTAAAAGAAGGAAACAAAGAAAGATAAAGGAAACATTTAAGAGAAAGGGTTCACAAAAGCCAATATTTGGTCCTTTGAAAAGATTAATAAAATTAACAAACTTCTGGAGGAGGAGGGAACTGAGAGAGGCCAGTTCACACAAGCATCACAACTGAAAGGGAGTCTAACTACAGCTGCTATGAAGTTTGAAGAGACACAAAGAATGATTTTCTAGCCAACATTCTGAAAAAAGAGATACGATCAGGAGATGGGCCTCAGCAATATGGGCCCGGGGAAGTCTAAGCAGGCACTGAGCAGTAAAGTAATCTGAATCAGGCTGAGATCTCCTGCTAAGGGTGTGCCAGGAACTATTATGTACTTCTTGCCTTATCAAGCCAAAAGGATACACAATATACACTGTATTGATTTCAGAAACTAGAAAGATACCAGGCTTCCCCCAGTACATTATTCTGAGGGTAATATAACAGTTTTACCAAAACCAGATGAAGAAAAAAAAAAGAAGAAGAAAACATACAGGCCATGCAAACAAAACTTTGAAACAGATTAGCAAACTAAACTCAACACAGTATACAGAAGTGAATAATGATGGCTTGGTTTTATCCCTGATATGCAAGACTGATCAAGTATCAGAAAGTTGAAATGAAGGAAAACCAGATAACCACCATACTGAAGCAGGAGAGGAGTTTACCCGAGAGCCCAGAATTCAAGTGTGGGCCTTACAGACCATCTCCTGTACACGAAGACATATGCAGGAATAGTCACAGCAGCATCGACGGCAGTAACAGACAAAATCCAAGAAGTATCGCACTGTACACCATCAGTAAAATGGATAAATATTTGGTGGTATATTCTTTTTCATAGAATACTGCTCAATGTAAAAACCTACCAGTTACATCTACCAACTCAAGTCAAAAGTGGAAAAATCACACAAGAATTCACATAGCGGACACTACAGCAACAGGAACTTACAAGAAGAGCAACATTAAATACAATACTGAGACAGACTTCAAAGGGAGATCAGGCAAGGATGGACAGGACAGTAAAGAGGGTGGGGCTGGAGTGGAGGGACTGGGGACCACGTGGGGCTTCTGTGGTCCTGGCGTGATTCTGTTTTATAAGCTGGGAGTGAGCATGCTTATTATTTTTTTTTACTGGTCTTTAAACAGCATGTACACATTTATAACCCAGTTATATAAGTCTGTATTTCACAAAATAAATAAATAAAGGGGTAAGTCGATGTTATCTATTCGAGGGAAATGAAATGGAAACAAGTTTTTTGCCAGTAGCTGCTGGCTTGACGGACAGATTTCCCACAGGAAGTGGAACTGGAAAGTAGCTCTCCTTCTGTCCATTTCCTGATGAATTATTAATAACGCTTTGACTCATGGGAAGAAGGAGACAGAGAACACGTTGGAAGTGCTTTGGGTTCTGTCACTCAACCCGCATTGCTGATCTAAAAACCAAGGAGCTAAGTCATATATATTGGAAATGTTAACTTATGGCAAGTGTTGTTTTCTCAAAGGAGAGATGAGGGAGACAATGGGGGTTCAAGTGTAGAAATCAGAGGACAACCTTAGGTGTTAAATCCTTCAACTATCTATCTACCTTGAATAAGTCAAGATCTGTTCTTCATCACTGTGAAACCAGGCCAATCAACCCCCACACTTCTGAGAATTCTGTCTCCATTTCTCACTATAGACACTCTGGGACTACAGACATGTGGTTCTGTTTCTGGCTTTATGTGGGCTCTGGGAGTAAAGCTTAGATCCGCAGCCCCAGTCATCTCCCCAGGCCCTCTCCTCAGCTCTGAATAGGATTAGTCTTAAGATAGGAACTTATTGAATGGAGTAAAGCAAGATTCAGACAGTATCAGGGCTTGGTGTCCATGTGCAGGGAGGCAAAGACAACAGGCTTGGCATGCAGTGGTCAAAGGAAGAGATACCTGCTGTATGGTGTGGCCCACACTGAGGGGCTGTCAGGATTACTGCAGGTGAGCTGTTCAGATCTCATATTAACCCACTGTAAACAGACTGCCTTGTTTGAGCAGTGTTTTGAAGGACATTTGAACCTGTTCCCCATAAGTTATATTACTGTAGACATATGTTCTGGTAAGAAAGCACTGCATTGTGAAGAAGTATGACTTACACATCTTGTTCTCATAGAACCCCACTTCCTAAGAGAAAAATGGGCTGCTGCTCTGGTCTGTCAAAAAGAGAGAAAGTACTATCCATGGGAGACAGGCAACTGTTCTGAGGGCTCCTCCTGGGAAGTTTCAGAGAGTGGCTGAATTGGTCTGGGTACAACCAGAGCTATGGATGCATGGTTGGTTCCTCTGATACCCGCATTCTCTGTTCTGAGGGCTCAAGGTACATGTAACCCAAATCCAGAAGCAGGGCCCTACCCTGTGTCATACAGCCCCAGCATCACTGGATGCTGTCCACAAAAGCCATGGTTTGAATATTGTCCCTCAGAGATGGGCAATACAATGGCTCCAGTCACAGGCATAGGCCACCAAGCAAGAAGGCACTAAATCATCACAGATTAAAGCTGCCACTTCCTCCTGTCTGTCCTCCTTCACCAGGAATATTTATCAAACCTAAATGCTAGTAAATCAAGGCATTTTCTAAATAACACAGGTCGCCATACTTTGGCTGTGTGTCTGTCTGTGTATGTATGTATGTATGTATGTATGTATGTATGTATATCTGTATGTATGTATGTATGTATGTATGTATGTACATAATTCATCTGCTAAACTCTTGGACTTATTCCCAAGAAGTGTGGTGCTTGTAGGTCACATGAGTCTGTTTTCTCTAATCCTCCAGGTCCAATGTCTGTATTTGGACTACATTGGTGAAATTCTTTGACCTTTAGGGACAAACAAAAATCTCACTATAAATTATAACCAGAATGTGTCCAAGGATGGAGATCTTATGTAATAATACATCATCATAAAGAAGTGGAAAGGTTATATGCTATAATTATTGTTTCTTTAGTAGCTATCATATACGGATTCTGGTTAGACCAGTAATCTTATTAACATTTATAGTTCATTGAGTTATGCTGGCACAAAGTCAAATCAATTTGCATAAATTTTTTTTAATTCATCTAGCTATCTGGAAAGAAATTATTCATAAATGATACTAATTTTGAATTAAGAACCTAAAGTACAAACTGGGTGTGGTGGATTAAATATGCTTCGTCCAGGGAGTGGCATTATTCAGAGGTATGGCCTTGTTGGAGGAGGTGTGTCACTGTAGGGGTGGGCCTTAAGACCCTCCTCCTACTTTCTTTTCTGGTCTCAGATGCTGCGGGAGGCTCTAGTTACCGTGCAGACATGGCCAAGTCCAAGAAGCACACCACACACAACCAGTCCCGCAAATGGCACAGAAATGGCATCAAGAAAACCTGGTCACGAAGACACCAATCTCTTAAGGGGGTTGACCCCAAGTTCCTGAGGAACACGTGCTTTGCCAAGAAGCAAAACAAGAAAGACCTGAAGAAGATGCAGGCTAACAATGCAAAGGCAGTGAGTGCACGCGCAGAGGCCATCAAGGCCCTTGTGAAGCCTCAGGTCACCAAGCCCAAGATGCCAAAGGGCCAGAGCTGCAAACTCAGCCGCCTGGCTTTTATCGCTCACCCCAAGCTTGGGAAGCAGATTCGAAGCTACATGACCAAGGGTCGTAGGCTCTGCCAACTGAAGCCCAAGGTTCAAACCAAGGCAGAGGCCAAAGCTCCAGCTAAGGCCCAGGCTTCAGCTCCAACCCAGGCTCCCAAAGGTGCCCAGGCCCCTGTGAAGGCCCTATAGAAAAGGCTCCTGCCAATGTGAAGACAGATGGACTGCCATGACACACCAACAAATAAACTCGAGGCAAGGGAAAAAAAAGACTCTTCTCCTAGCTGCCTGTACATCAGTCTTTTCCTGGAGGCCTTCTGATCAAGATGTAGAACTCGCAGCTCCTTCTGCACTATGCCTGCCTGGAGGCCGCCATGTTTCCTGCCTTGATGATGACCCGAACCTGTAAGCCAGCCCCAATTAAATGTCCTTTATAAGAGTTGCCTTGGTCATGGTGTCTCTTCACAGCAATGGGAATCCAGACTAAGACACTCAGTGTATGGTTACGCAATGGAAATACTATGCAATATATAAAGTCAATTGTAGAAAACCATGTTACATATTAATACTATCCCTGTAAAGAATAACACATTAACACATGTGAATGTTCTGGTGAAGAAGAACTGCATGGCAAGGAAGCGTGAACTGTATCTAGATACCACAGTCCTCACCTCTGGACGGAAGGCCACTCTTTCTTCCTCACTGTGACTTTCTGAACTTTTAAGATCTCTGCTCTTACCATCGATTTGATGACTAAAGAAACACATTCGTGAAACAAGCAAGTACGGGTTGGGTATTAGAATAGAGGAACAAGAAGACATCCCACCATCGGACATCAGAATGGAAGATCGGTGCATGCATACCTGTGAATAGGACGTCTCCACCATCTAAGGTTGCGTTTTCATCTTTCATCTCTACTATGTTGAGCTGAAGTTTTTCCAAAGCCTCTTTCATCATGTCAACCTGTTGAAAAATCAGACAGCTTGTATTAATACCGACCACTTCCCAATTTGAAAAACTAACTCTCCACAACTTCTCAGCACTAAATCTCCTCCCTACCTCTCTCACACACACACATACACACACTCATTATTGTGGATATAGGAGGGTATGTAGTATACAGTAGAGAGAAGGGTCAGTCACCATCATTTCTAACAGGAGAAATTATTTGCTAGAAAGCACCTGTCTATAAAGAGTTAGGTGTGGTGGCTCATGCTTGTAATCTTAGCACTTCGGAGGCTACCTGGGGGTGGGGGTGGAGGCAAGGAGGAGCATCCCTGTGAGCTCAAGGCCAGCCTGGTCTAAAGAATGATACACTGCCTCAAAAACAAAACAAAATCTCTTTTGTTTTCCTTCTAACACAGTTGTTTCTCAACCTTCCTGATGCTGTGACCCTAGATAACAGTTCCTTATGCCACGGTTACCCCCAACCATAAAATTATTTTTGTTGCTACTTCCTAACTGTAATTTAGCTACTGTTATGAATCATAATGTAAATATCTGACATGCAACTCCTGTTGAAAGGGTTGTTTGACTCCAAAGGGGTTGCGACTCACAGGTTGAGAACCACTATTATAGTGTAATGTTGACTCAATCTTATAGTCTTGTCTTGCCTAAGAAGGTTAACTAGTTAGGGCTCTGTTGGAGGGTGACTAGTTAGAACACTGAGAGGCAGGAGGCCAATCACCCAGTTTCCTTGTCCTTGTAAGAAAGTGCACGAATTAATTTTAGGTTCAAGTGAGATGGCCAAAATCTCAAATGCTAGGCATACTAAACAGTGATGATAACTCAGTATTTCAGTCTGCAGGGAGGACAGCCACTGGTTTCTTTTTGAAAATATTTTCTAAAATGACATTTACCCATGGCTTCTCAGCTGTCCTGTTGTTAGAATTTATATTCATGTTTTTTTAAAACATAGTTCCCTAGAGGTTATTAACAAATAACAGTAACTATTATGAAACAGAAGAATATTGGAAAGTGAAGTTCAGGGACTCTCTGGGTCTGGACTTATCCATCATGGAGACACTCTGAACTGAATCAGAAAATGATATGGCTGAGGCTTATTTATTTTTAATTTTTAAAATTGTTTTATTTTGGGACAGCTTGTCATTAAGTAACCCTGGTTGGCTTTGAACTCATGACCTTGTACTTCTGCCTCTGAGTACTGGGATTAGTGTGCCCTCAGGAGCTTACAACTTAATTCACATCCTTCCAGCAGCTCAACAAAAGCAGTTTAAATATTTTCTAAGGTCTCTGTAACCTTTAAAACAGTAAGCATCTATTAAGAAGACATGAACAAGGAAAAGAGAAAATCAAGAAGTCACATGACACTGGGCTTCCCTGTCAAATGCCCAGTACACAGGACAGACTGTCACCAAACAGGCATCACTTCAGAAGTTGCTTCTAAACTAATAAAAATATGGAAATAGTTTGACAATACTGACATTCAAAAACATTAAAGAGGGTATAACGGAAAATAAACACATTGGCTCATCCTTGTCCTGGAATGCATGCTACATTTCCACACACCAGAGTGACTCAGAACAATAAAAAGTATTTCCACAGACAAAATGATCTTTATACAGTAAATACATTCAGTGACTTCTTTAACAGGAAGGGGAACTGTCATATCGTACAAACAAGAGCAAAACAAGATTTACCATGATTAGGGAGACTCTAAACTCTCTCTCTCTCTCTCTCTCTCTCTCTCTCTCTCTCTCTCTCTGTCTCTCTCTGTCTCTGTCTCTCTCTGTCTCTCACTCTCTCTGTCTCTCTCTCTGTCTCTCTCTCTGTCTCTCTCTCTGTCTCTCTCTCTCTCTCTCTCTCTCTCTCTCTCTCTCTCTCTCTCTGTCTCTCTCTCTCTCTGGAGCAAAACAAGACTTACCATGATTAGAGAGACTCTAAACACTCTAAACATTCTCTCTCGCGAGCTCTCTCTCAAACACACACACACACATACACATTAGCTCATGTTGTCAGCTTTTGTGTCTATAAAACATTCACTGAGTGTAACCAGAGAAGGCATGAGGACTGGGCTCTGGAAGTTACCATTTCAATAACTGGGAATTCGGCAGCAACATGGATTCCACCCAGGAAAGTTTCATAACTACATAGCAACTCAACTGAGGACCTTCGTTCAAACTCTTCAGAGTTAAAGACAGAAACAAGGCGGACACTGTCACTGTACATTGTCTCTGAAACACCTCCTTCCATCTTTCAAGTCTTCTGACTTTCAAAATTGAAGGTTTATTTTCTCCTAGCTTTGAAAAGCGATCAGTCAGGATCATGTAATCAGACATTATTATTTTCCTTTGGAAACTCTGGGTGCATGTGTAGAGTTAAGAAGCTGTTGGACACTTATGATAAAATTATTCTAAAGGGAAATCGAAATGAGAAGAGAAAATATTGTGGTTTCCTAACTGTGAAACAAGGTATACCAACATTACATCTGGATTATGTACAACACAGATTTAATTATATTCTGTTGCTGTAATCCAGATGTAATTATATTCTGTTGCTGTTCTGTCGTCAGGTGTAGGGAGAGGTCTGCATCATACATGTGGATGGTACTAGATTACTTTCAGAGTCAATTGTCTGAGTAAGAGTTTAACAAGACCTAAACATGAAGTAGACAATTGTGAGAGGTTCAGGCTGTGCAGTATCTAACCCCAGGAAGATGTCTAACAAAACGGAAGAACCGAGCTCAGCAGGTTGCCCACTGAATGATAATGGCTGTCCACTGAGAATTGTCCTCCTGGTACAGATTTCCATGAAAGTACACAAAGCTTTCTACAATAGGCCTAGCACTGCCCTGACACACCAGCCTGGAGCAAGCCAGCTACTGGGGCCAATTGAACAGTAAATGAAATGACAGAAGGGGGAGCTTTACAGGAACAGATCCAACCACGAACCTTCAAACATCTGCTTGTTGTGTGACAGCACAGCCATGTTGATTTAATTTACGTTTGGGGTGGGGGAGACAAAGGGACGCAACACTCCACCTTTCACAGAGACGCCGACTCTGCAATGGAACTCCACGTTACTCAGAGAAACCATCAGAACAAACAGTATTGATCCCACAGCCTGAGATGAATGGGTGCCACTAACACATAGATCAGAAATGAAAAGAAGACATCTGATAAACCTTAGCTTGTCATCCAACTCCATTCTAAAGACTGTCAAGCGCTTTGAGTTACGTCTCTCTTGCCTGGGTTAGTGGGCAGACTTAGCCTCAATCTGCTCATCTGTAAAGCCAGCATTTATTTATACTACCACCAACTTCTTAAGCTCCCTCAGATCACTAAACTCATGCAAAGCTTATAACGCACAGGACTGTAAGTGCACAAAAGACGTCAGATACAGCTTTTGTTATCTCAGATACCAGACTGTGTGCATATGGTGACGGATTCTTATGCTGCAAATCTGACCCACAAGCAAAAAGGCTGTTGCTTTTTCTTACATTTAGACACGTTTCCATGTTATACGACTGTGCGACAGATTCCACCTGGGTTCCTACAAAATAAAACTGCAATCTTTCCCACAAACCCAACTCAGTTCGATGAGAGCATGTCCATGCTAAAATCTTGCCAGCTTTATGTCCTCCCACATCCAGGAAGCTGTTGTGATGAGGCACTTGTCTTTCTTTCTTTTTTTTTTTAAAGATTTATTTTATGTTTATGAGTACACCGTAGCTATCTTCAGACACACCAGAAGAGGGCATCAGATCCCATTACAGATGGTTGTGAGCCACCATGTGGTTGCTGGGAATTGAACTCAAGACCTCTGGAAGAGCAGTCAGTGCTCTTAACTGCTGAGCCATCTCTCCAGCCCAAGGCACATTTCTTATAATCTCTCCTTTGAACTAACCTTCAGCACCAAGAAGAGGTAGGCCTGTCTGGTAAGATGCCCTACAGGACTCAAGAAGCATCAAATGCTGGGTGCTATGCCTCTTGTCTTAATCCTAGCACTTGAGGTAGAGATAAGAGGACTGTGAGTTTGAGGTCAGTCTAAACTACCTGTGAAAGTTCAGAGCCAGCAAGGGTTCCATAGAGAGATTACCCTGACTGAAAACCAACCAACCAACCAACCAACCACCCACCCACCACATAGAAAAGAGACTCAACACCAAATCAAACCAACCACCACCACAAAAACAACCTAAGGCATTAAACCACCAAGACCAACAAACAGAACAACCCTAGGCAAGAGTCTCCTCTCAGCCTTCCTGCTGCTGTGATAACACATCCCTCCTAGAGCAGGTTGAGAAAGGGCTCATTCTGACTCACAGTTGGAGGTGACAGCTCATCACAAGTGAAGTCACAGCAGCAGAACACTGAAATGCTGGTGCTATTAATCTGTCCAGCCTGGATCCAGACCCAGGGGACGATTCTCCCCACTTTCAGTGGGTCTTCCCACTTTAGCTAATCTCGTTAGCACAGTCCCTCACAGCACATGCCCCAAGCTTGTCACCTGCATGGTTCCTGATACTGTTTGGATAGTTAACATTATCCATCACAAAAACCCACAAAAGGGTATCAGCCATGAAAACAGAGGCTAAGTAGGTTATGAGCACACTGCCCTCTGGCCTGTAGGATTCCTTTTGTCTCCCAATGCCTGCCTTCCTTTCTTACCTTTCTCACTCCCTCTCCTTCCTTCCTCTATGGCTCTCCCTCCATACTGTCTTCAAGCCTCCAGAGGCCTCAGGAACAGTTACCAGGAATCTGAATACTGCTATGAAGAAGTGATACTACTTGTTTCTGATCTGTAAAGGGGTAATATTTTCTCTGTCATGGGGATTATGTGATTCACAAATGGGATCATGTATAGGAAGCACCCTGATCAGTGCCCAGCTCAAAACCCACAGTCTGATATTATTTTTCTCTAAAGTAACGTATCTATTGGCTTCAATTCTGGCTACATTTCAAATGGAAAGAAAAAAATATAAATACAGATTTTTCAATACT